ATATATATATATATATATATATATATATATATATATATATATATATATATATATATATCAGTCAAGACTTTCAAGATATATATGTCAAGACTTTCAAGAAAAGTGGGAGATGGAACTTGTATTAGTAAACTGCTGTATTATTTATGATTATAATATGTTTTGTGTGATTGTGTAAAACAATGAGTATAATTGTATGATACTTTGATACATGTAACTATATAAGATTTAAGATTTGAGTGATTTGTTATATTATGATTGATATGTATGTTAATTATAATGTTTTGATATTTATATATTAATTCATCCCAAAATGATCTTATTTTATATAGGAATAGATAGTCATACAAGTATAAAAAATACACACTATTAGAAAAGAGTGACATGAGATATTTAAAACAATATTTTAGTTTTAAGTTTTTTTTCTATATAAAATTTATGGTTGTAAAACAATATTTTATTTATTGAGATTTTTAAGAAAACGGGAAGAAGTTGTAATTTTAATTGTTGATGGTTATAGATTTTGGTAAGAAAAAAATGGGAGGGTTACAATTAATGTCTTCTTACTCATTTTACGATGTAGTTAAAATGTAATCTTAAAAGGTTAGAACAATGAATAACTTCTTTGCTGATTATAAATTAAAGAATAAAAAGTAATTGTGAAATGCAATGAAGACTATTCACCTCATTTATACATCAATCTTGTCTAAGTTTTGTATTATTTAATAAACAATCGTATTATAGTTACACACTATTATTGATTTTCTTATTATGACTAAAGTATTCCTACTTACATATTTAAAATTATGAACACACAAAATAAATCCAACTTTTTCTCAGTTAAACGTCAGTTTATTTGTATTTATTTTATCTAAAAAAATGTTTTATCTGAAAAATAATTGCTGAATTCTACTTAAATATAACTTCATATCAATATCATTTTTTTCTATTTTCTTTTACATTCTGTCCATTAAAATTACTCCTCTTTTAAATACAACACAACAACAGTTATAAATAATCAAATTAGCTTGAGGAAGTTGGAACATACTATACAAAAACAGTTATAATATACCGATACTTCAATTTTATCAGTCATACTTATCAACGAAATATCAAATCTATAAAACAGTGATACTTTTATGATGAACTATAGAAGTTTGCAGCATAATTCATGAACTGAAAATCTCACGCAATACATATGGAGCACAGTTCAGAGGCTTCTGTTTTTGTTTTATGATATAAAGACTTGTCAAAGCTGAACCCGCAATCTTCCAAGCAAAGCCACATTTAGATACTGAATTTGTAAGCATTGCATATTCGTAACAGAAGCGGTAAATAGCCAAAGCCTCGTCATAAATATCACTAATATTCTTCGGACTATCCTCCATCATGGCAGTAGCACCATATAACTCCTACAAGAGAGTCCAAATTCTTGGAATCATTTTATGAATGCATGAAAGTAACGGTTGAGGAAGAAAGAGACAGAAATTATACCTCCTTATATTTTCTAATGACTTTAGCTGCCTCGTCGTTGGAGTTAATGTCATTCAAGGCAATATGCATTTCCGTCCTGTATTCTTTATACTTTGTGTTCCACTTTTCCATACAGCTAGGAGGTACTTCAACGTCAAAACAGGGGAGCAATCTAATTTCTGATGGCCATGGCAGTAAAAGGAAAAACATACATTAAGCTAACAAATCTGGGTCAATAAATTTTTACTTATTTATTTATCTTTTATGCCCAAAATATAAGAGTTGTTCCTCTCTAGCTCCACCAGAGGTAATAAAGTATTGCAGAAATAATTAAATTATACTGAGTTAATTTCCAGTCATCACCTTCCTCAGATAAGTCTTTTGTTTGCCATGTACCAACCCAATCATAAATTAAACCTAAAATAGAGGTTGAAGTGAATGATTTATCTCTTTCCATGTAGTGTGGGAAAATCTCTGCTTTTAAATCATCTGGAACTTGTACCTGTTAAAGAATTACCAGATGATTCAAATTTGGAAATTTAAAGTGTTTTCATGAACTCGAATATTTGAAAAATTACAAAGCTAAAACTGGATTCATGCGCCCTTACAAGTACCCAAAATTAACATTTTAAATGGTTGAAAGCAACAGAGCACTAATAATGGATTTTGAGAAAGTAAATCCATTCCATCTCAGAAATCATTAAAGGGAAACAAAGAATTTATTTAGTCGATTTCTCCAGCCCACCAAGTCAGGAAGACACTATCTCGTTTGCAGTATTGTGACTCAATGGCCCAACAAGTTTTCAAATGTTCTAAAATTCCTTAAAAAATTCTTTAGTGTAGACAAGGTCATCAATCCTCATGGTAATTGAAAATGAAATCAACTAATCACAGTGCTGTCCACTGACAAAAATATATGAAGATTCTGTAAACTCACAATTAACTGGTCAAGTTTCATCCAGTTTATGGAAATTTAACATATATAATCACTGACATTATCTACAACCAAAATGCTGATATCTGTAAAATTTCTTAGCATCTAAAATGGAGAACCTCCTAAAGTCAACCTTGCACAAGTCCACACCAGAAATTCTTTTTCCTCCTAGGGCACAAGTGATAAGACCCTCGTTATCCCATGCATACTCACATATAGAAGTAGTTAAATCTTTAGCTACGTATAGGTTTCATTACTGAAAATAATGTCATGTAGGATGGGAACATTAACCCATCCAATTATCATAACAAGAATATGTTAGTTTGTTATGGCCCAACTAAAGAGGCGGAGTTGTAGCAACAAAAGAATAATACAAAACTAACCTTTCTCCCTCCCTTCTTAGGAGCATCTAATGCCTCGTAGTATATATCGATCAACTTAAGTATATTTTCTTTCAGATTTTCTTTCTCCTTCTCCTTCTCATTCTCTTCACTGCAGTAATTTTTTAATGTCAACAGACGATCCATGAGTGCCATCCAGCTGTCAGCTGCCACACCCATTGCATTACTGGAAAGAGAACAAATTGTCATGTATGGATCTAAGAATTAAAAATGGAAAAAATACTTATTACCCACAACAGTAATGTTTCCTCTTGATAGCAAACAATATACAAAGTGAAAACACTAATTACATGGAATTTCAAATGCCAGATGTCGGTGAGACAGATTACTACTATATCTGCATAACAGAAAACTATAAAGAAGGTGAAGTGTTACAAACACTTAATTGATGAAGGACTACCAACATCTGCATACTACGATGCATTAGAAAAATTCCAGGGTGATTATGAAACATACAGGCTTAATTATGTCTGCAAAACGGTTTTACATACGAGAGTAAGATATCAATACTTAATTACTATGTAAACAGTCATGCACACCTTGGTTGGAAACGAGTTTTGAGGAATAGTCTAAAAAGTTCATCCTCAAGTTCCGTGGCTGAAAATGTACTAGGCTTTTTAGCACTGGAGTCCAATTGGACAGATTGGCAAGGGGCAGAATTTTCCATCCAAGGGTCACTCTTTCTGAAATATTGTAAAAGCTGAAACATTTAAAAAAAAAAAAAAACTTGTCAATATAAAGGAACTTTTAAAGAACTATGATAGGGCCCAAATATAAATATGGCTTGATTAAGTTTTAATCCCTTATAAATTTAGGTATGTTCAATTGAATCCCTATTAAATATTTTTGATTTATTGAATACTCAANGCTGTCAGCTGCCACACCCATTGCATTACTGGAAAGAGAACAAATTGTCATGTATGGATCTAAGAATTAAAAATGGAAAAAATACTTATTACCCACAACAGTAATGTTTCCTCTTGATAGCAAACAATATACAAAGTGAAAACACTAATTACATGGAATTTCAAATGCCAGATGTCGGTGAGACAGATTACTACTATATCTGCATAACAGAAAACTATAAAGAAGGTGAAGTGTTACAAACACTTAATTGATGAAGGACTACCAACATCTGCATACTACGATGCATTAGAAAAATTCCAGGGTGATTATGAAACATACAGGCTTAATTATGTCTGCAAAACGGTTTTACATACGAGAGTAAGATATCAATACTTAATTACTATGTAAACAGTCATGCACACCTTGGTTGGAAACGAGTTTTGAGGAATAGTCTAAAAAGTTCATCCTCAAGTTCCGTGGCTGAAAATGTACTAGGCTTTTTAGCACTGGAGTCCAATTGGACAGATTGGCAAGGGGCAGAATTTTCCATCCAAGGGTCACTCTTTCTGAAATATTGTAAAAGCTGAAACATTTAAAAAAAAAAAAAAACTTGTCAATATAAAGGAACTTTTAAAGAACTATGATAGGGCCCAAATATAAATATGGCTTGATTAAGTTTTAATCCCTTATAAATTTAGGTATGTTCAATTGAATCCCTATTAAATATTTTTGATTTATTGAATACTCAATTTTTATATTTTTCAATTAAGTCCTTATCATTTAACTTTTTAAAACAGTGACATGGTTGTTATATAGTCATCTTGTTTATTTGTCTCCATGTGTTAACTAACTACAACCTTTCCATGCAATACTTTTAATCTTTTCGTTTGAACTTACTAAGGGGGAAATGGAAAATATAAAATGTGACAATTAAAATTTAGTAAGAAACAGAAACACTGAAAGGAATTCAATTCCTTCAATAGCATTAGATGTAGTAAGAAAATGAGGGCCTCTAAACTGAAATTGATATTGGAACCTGAGGATGTTTGGAAACCCAGTACAAATCTCCATCAAAATCACCTCCAGCAATTTCATCTGCCACTGAGCGAGTTCCAACACACGGGAAAAAAATTGCATACTTGCTATGTCCAACAAAAGATTCTAACTTATCCACATGTGTGGCACGCATTATGTGAATGTCGCCAAAATGTAAACCTGGATTTCTGTAGACCAACACATCCCCGGTAATTTGGTCATTCTCACTACAAATGAGGAATGAAACAGTCAGCACATATGACTATGTTAAATTGCAAACATAATTTCCTACAATAAAGATCTACTAGAGCACACAGTTGAATGTGATCATCATTTTGTTTTATCTTTGCCTATCAATATTGCATCTCACTAAGTTGAGTAATATCACCTACCCCATTTCATAAGCTAAAGATAGACTTCTATGTTTGCGATTGATATTACAATAACACAACAGAAGCTAGATATAACAGAAGCTGTTCACATTTAACAAAAGAAAAGATTAATTTCACTATCCAACATCAATTAGTTCAATATGAGATGGAGAGGGAGACACTACGATGTGCACATTTTTTTGTCACAGTCACTCCATTTAGCTTTTTACAAAAAAATTATGTTTCTCTCCTTTTCTTTTATAATAATTAAGTTGCTTCATTTTTTAAGAGCTTCTCTCTAAATCTGTCTCCCCAAGCTTCTCTTAAAAATAAGAAAAGAAAATGAAAAAGCTAAGTCAGACACTACCATAGTAAGAATTGGACTAATTTTCATACAATATTAGTCATATTAATATTTAATGGGAACTGCCGAAGAGTCATAGATGTTTATACTTCTCTTGAATTTATTAAGAACTATACAAGTTGGATTGTTAAAGGAAGGAACCCATCACGGAATATTTGTGACTGTAAGTACCTACTAAGCTCAAAGGTAAGTTTTAACATATTATTATACTATCAATTACACTCTGCAATTGTGAATGTTGGGCTTTGAAATGAATATAGAAGAAAACAGTTGTAGGAGAAGTGAAAATGTTACACTCACGAAGATGCCCAGGATATATAATAATTGTATACAAGGATATATCGATGTGACTCTTATTGAACAAAAAAAATGGTTAATATAGTTTGGAAATGTGTAAAGAAGGCTATTGAAGACACTGATGAAGAAAGTAAAATACAGGATTTTTAGTCATGTGAAAAAGGATAGAGATCAAGAAGGAGATTTCATGGTGAACAATATCCAGGAGGACTTACTTTTAAATCAAGTTAAAAGGCATTACATGATCCATGGAGCCCACCTCACCTAGAGAGAATGCGAGATAAGGCTATTGATGTTGAATCTATTTGACAAGCAATGTAAAAGTAGATAAATGTGCCAATTCTTTGAAAAGAACGAACAAAACTTGCACCCCATTTATACAGTTTTATCAACTAAAGTAGAAGATATGCATCACCAAAATTCTCCTATCACAATAGTCCTCGAAGATAAAACACATTTAACTTTTAAGATTTATTTTGGTTCACTAAAAGATCAATGCATTGGGAAAATTAAAAGATTTATGCTTACTGTATTATACAAACTTGATCCTTTTCCAGGCATCCAGTGGGATCTACAGTCCCCATTAAATAGAAAGAGTCAGGGATATAGAGCTTCCCTCCTCTAAGCTTCTTTCGTTCCTCCCTTGCAAGTATAGACAGATGATACTGCAAAAATGGCTCATCCAGAGGAATTCCACATAAAATCATTTCTGCTGCATTGTATTCATCCATGGTGCCATTATTAATTGAAGCTGCAAATTAACCAAAAAAATGAAAGAACATTCATATTTTGGGCAGCAGTACGGATAGATCTGAATCCAAATAAAGAACAGCTTTTGATAAAAAAAAAAAAAAAAAAGTGACGAAAGAAGCATTGGCCGGCAACCTCTGAGTGCAACACGCTTATTGGAGAAAACATGATTTGCATCTTCCAAATTACTCTCTAGTAAAGCCTTGAAGAATTCATTTGGCACTCCTCCATAGCTCAAAAGTGCAATCAGATTTTTAGATAAATAAGTTCTATTTGGCTTGATGCTGAAATATGTAGACTTCAGATCAGCTAGCTTTCAAACAATGCAAAAAATTATTTTCCTACTAAAGAATAAAAAAGATTAGATGAAGCTCCAAAAATCTTCTACCATTAGGCAAGTTGTTGAGGAATAATATTACTATTAACGTATATTGTTAGAAGAAATAAATGCATCAAAAGACTACTAAATTTTCCTCCATATGATAAAAGCATTTCCAAGCCATTTTATTCTTAAAAGACTCTTACTTTGAATGGGTATACCTACACCATGTCTATTGTGCACAAGACCAGTTAAGCAATTGGACCTTCTATGATGAAACCCAAATATGAAGGTGCCAAACATTGGTCTAGTGAAAAGCTATGTGACGTATCTTGATAAAGCATATGATTTGATGAACAAACCATATCATCAAGCTTCTGCAATTGGACACATCCTATCAGTTTAAGCTTTTAAAATCATATGCCTTCTAAGGATATTTTCAAGTGAAACACAAATATGTCTCAATTCCCAACACACTATGCTATATCCTGGTGTGGTCATGGGTAGGAATCTCTATTTGTAAGAAAATAAGCTCAAATGATTACATAATCAACCTAAGTAAGAAAGTAAAGAATTATTTTATTCATAACAATCATCCCAATTCCATTTTTATCATCTCTATTTGCAATGATCAAAACTTTTAAAAAGGAAATAAAAGTATGTTGAAATGAATAGAAATTTTTTTAAGATATCTTTTCCTAATCACTCAAAGAGATATTCGGAGTATTTTTTGTTCAAATAATATGTTATTTACAACACTCTTCCTCAAATTGGTAAATGAATATCAATCATTTTCAACTTGCTTACAAGATTCAGGAATCTGTCCTCAAGAAGTCCTTTAGTGAAAATGTCTGTTATTTGAAATCCTGTGGGGAGATGAGTTGTAACCACTAAGCCTCTATTGTGAAGATTATCTTTGATGAAGTACTTATCAATATAAACATGTTTAGTTCTATCATGTTGGACTGGATTATGGACAATATTCATGACTAACTTGCATAGGGTCATCAAGTATGATTTTCATACAAAGCCCTTTGTTAAAGAACAACCATCTAAGGTTTTTGCCATATCCCAACAAGCCAAGATGACGTATTAGCAACAAAATAAAAAACCTCTATGAACCCCTCATTGATGTAAAAGAGAAATACCTTGTGTTCACTACCTCCAATGAATTTATGCTTTGCATATTCAGACTAAGGTCTTTCTCAACTTTAATCATTGAATGCCTAACCTGTATTGTCCTAGGAGGAAGCTGTCAGATTAAAAAATGTGGTATCAAATCACAAGCACTGGAATCAAATAAGAATATAAATAAAACATATAATTAACTCTTGAAATGGATGAATGTTGTTGGTGTAGGTTGTTACATCAAGAAAACTATCAAAATTAGAGGAAGATTGTACAGGACACCAATAAGACCAGACGGACCATGGAATTGAATGTTGGATCACAAAATCCCCTCCATGGCCAGCAGAATTTTGTTTTAGAAGTTCATAAATATATTCTCTATCTTATACACTTTGTCTTACAAAACTCCAACTTCCACTAAAAGATTAAGGGCAAAAATATTGAAATACCTAAAAGTACAAAATATAGATGATATACCTTTCTGTTAACCAAAAGAGTGCCCTTAATTGTGCGACCCATGTGAAAGAGACGGCACTGAATCAGCAAAGGCTGGAGGATCGGAGAAAAAAAAGTTTTATTAAAATAACATATATGCAAATCACACCGCACACATGCATATATAAAATATGTGAAATGAAAAATAAAAACAAATCATCCACCGGTTGATGTGTGCTCAGCTTCAGCTCCATTTCTCCCATTCCCTTACCCATATCCTCCCGATCCACAAGATTGTTAATTTCCTGAGTTTAAAGGAAGTCACAATGCACAGAATAATCAAAGAAAGAAGACTAGATCATAGAACTCAATGAAATATATTAGAGAACACAAGCTGATATTTAAGTTTTTTGAGAGAAACGTAACAGCAATAAAGCCATAAGCAGAATAACAGAATGTCCAGGCAATCAAGAAAAGAAATATATCTAATGAAAAGTGTGTATAAAAGAAATAGTTCCTTCAAAAGCATATGAGTTGGAGATAATTAGCCAAAAGTTTTACTAATAGGAACGTTTGCTCGCACTTCTTCTCTGCATTGATTTATTTCATTTAAGATGTTTTATTCTTTAAAATAGTTGATTATGTACAAGTACATGTAAATACAAAGCAACACAAAGAGCATTCCACTGAAACTTTTTTCTTATATACCGCAATGGGTGAAGTTTCCCCTCACTTGCGTACACTATTTTTAACCATATAAATAATCAATTTAAGATTTCCAGTCCATATTTCTCTATCTCACACTTAGGACTAAACATTTACAAGATTAGCCACATGTGGGTAGTCTTACAACAACCTGATAACAGGCCTAAAGCCCCAAAACTAGAGTGAAGGTTTCCCCCTATTATATTCACTATTTTGATTGTATCACTAATTCATGGGATCTCAAGCCATTTTACAGTAGCTTTCCATCAATAAACTGTTTCAAACCAAATTACTAGGAAAAAGAAGGCAGCATAAATTGAAAGCATATGAACTGCAAAATGTAAAAGTCAAGCTTTATCCCTCTAAGACATTAGTATTCATGCGTGAATCAAGGAAACTAGATACATAATCAACAGGCAACGATTTTGATAGAAATAACTGACGGATTCACAATACATATATTAAGTGGATTCTTAACACGNCGATGTGCACATTTTTTTGTCACAGTCACTCCATTTAGCTTTTTACAAAAAAATTATGTTTCTCTCCTTTTCTTTTATAATAATTAAGTTGCTTCATTTTTTAAGAGCTTCTCTCTAAATCTGTCTCCCCAAGCTTCTCTTAAAAATAAGAAAAGAAAATGAAAAAGCTAAGTCAGACACTACCATAGTAAGAATTGGACTAATTTTCATACAATATTAGTCATATTAATATTTAATGGGAACTGCCGAAGAGTCATAGATGTTTATACTTCTCTTGAATTTATTAAGAACTATACAAGTTGGATTGTTAAAGGAAGGAACCCATCACGGAATATTTGTGACTGTAAGTACCTACTAAGCTCAAAGGTAAGTTTTAACATATTATTATACTATCAATTACACTCTGCAATTGTGAATGTTGGGCTTTGAAATGAATATAGAAGAAAACAGTTGTAGGAGAAGTGAAAATGTTACACTCACGAAGATGCCCAGGATATATAATAATTGTATACAAGGATATATCGATGTGACTCTTATTGAACAAAAAAAATGGTTAATATAGTTTGGAAATGTGTAAAGAAGGCTATTGAAGACACTGATGAAGAAAGTAAAATACAGGATTTTTAGTCATGTGAAAAAGGATAGAGATCAAGAAGGAGATTTCATGGTGAACAATATCCAGGAGGACTTACTTTTAAATCAAGTTAAAAGGCATTACATGATCCATGGAGCCCACCTCACCTAGAGAGAATGCGAGATAAGGCTATTGATGTTGAATCTATTTGACAAGCAATGTAAAAGTAGATAAATGTGCCAATTCTTTGAAAAGAACGAACAAAACTTGCACCCCATTTATACAGTTTTATCAACTAAAGTAGAAGATATGCATCACCAAAATTCTCCTATCACAATAGTCCTCGAAGATAAAACACATTTAACTTTTAAGATTTATTTTGGTTCACTAAAAGATCAATGCATTGGGAAAATTAAAAGATTTATGCTTACTGTATTATACAAACTTGATCCTTTTCCAGGCATCCAGTGGGATCTACAGTCCCCATTAAATAGAAAGAGTCAGGGATATAGAGCTTCCCTCCTCTAAGCTTCTTTCGTTCCTCCCTTGCAAGTATAGACAGATGATACTGCAAAAATGGCTCATCCAGAGGAATTCCACATAAAATCATTTCTGCTGCATTGTATTCATCCATGGTGCCATTATTAATTGAAGCTGCAAATTAACCAAAAAAATGAAAGAACATTCATATTTTGGGCAGCAGTACGGATAGATCTGAATCCAAATAAAGAACAGCTTTTGATAAAAAAAAAAAAAAAAGTGACGAAAGAAGCATTGGCCGGCAACCTCTGAGTGCAACACGCTTATTGGAGAAAACATGATTTGCATCTTCCAAATTACTCTCTAGTAAAGCCTTGAAGAATTCATTTGGCACTCCTCCATAGCTCAAAAGTGCAATCAGATTTTTAGATAAATAAGTTCTATTTGGCTTGATGCTGAAATATGTAAACTTCAGATCAGCTAGCTTTCAAACAATGCAAAAAATTATTTTCCTACTAAAGAATAAAAAAGATTAGATGAAGCTCCAAAAATCTTCTACCATTAGGCAAGTTGTTGAGGAATAATATTACTATTAACGTATATTGTTAGAAGAAATAAATGCATCAAAAGACTACTAAATTTTCCTCCATATGATAAAAGCATTTCCAAGCCATTTTATTCTTAAAAGACTCTTACTTTGAATGGGTATACCTACACCATGTCTATTGTGCACAAGACCAGTTAAGCAATTGGACCTTCTATGATGAAACCCAAATATGAAGGTGCCAAACATTGGTCTAGTGAAAAGCTATGTGACGTATCTTGATAAAGCATATGATTTGATGAACAAACCATATCATCAAGCTTCTGCAATTGGACACATCCTATCAGTTTAAGCTTTTAAAATCATATGCCTTCTAAGGATATTTTCAAGTGAAACACAAATATGTCTCAATTCCCAACACACTATGCTATATCCTGGTGTGGTCATGGGTAGGAATCTCTATTTGTAAGAAAATAAGCTCAAATGATTACATAATCAACCTAAGTAAGAAAGTAAAGAATTATTTTATTAATAACAATCATCCCAATTCCATTTTTATCATCTCTATTTGCAATGATCAAAACTTTTAAAAAGGAAATAAAAGTATGTTGAAATGAATAGAAATTTTTTTAAGATATCTTTTCCTAATCACTCAAAGAGATATTCGGAATATTTTTTGTTCAAATAATATGTTATTTACAACACTCTTCCTCAAATTGGTAAATAAATATCAATCATTTTCAACTTGCTTACAAGATTCAGGAATCTGTCCTCAAGAAGTCCTTTAGTGAAAATGTCTGTTATTTGAAATCCTGTGGGGAGATGAGTTGTAACCACTAAGCCTCTATTGTGAAGATTATCTTTGATGAAGTACTTATCAATATAAACATGTTTAGTTCTATCATGTTGGACTGGATTATGGACAATATTCATGACTAACTTGCATAGGGTCATCAAGTATGATTTTCATACAAAGCCCTTTGTTAAAGAACAACCATCTAAGGTTTTTGCCATATCCCAACAAGCCAAGATGACGTATTAGCAACAAAATAAAAAACCTCTATGAACCCCTCATTGATGTAAAAGAGAAATACCTTGTGTTCACTACCTCCAATGAATTTATGCTTTGCATATTCAGACTAAGGTCTTTCTCAACTTTAATCATTGAATGCCTAACCTGTATTGTCCTAGGAGGAAGCTGTCAGATTAAAAAATGTGGTATCAAATCACAAGCACTGGAATCAAATAAGAATATAAATAAAACATATAATTAACTCTTGAAATGGATGAATGTTGTTGGTGTAGGTTGTTACATCAAGAAAACTATCAAAATTAGAGGAAGATTGTACAGGACACCAATAAGACCAGACGGACCATGGAATTGAATGTTGGATCACAAAATCCCCTCCATGGCCAGCAGAATTTTGTTTTAGAAGTTCATAAATATATTCTCTATCTTATACACTTTGTCTTACAAAACTCCAACTTCCACTAAAAGATTAAGGGCAAAAATATTGAAATACCTAAAAGTACAAAATATAGATGATATACCTTTCTGTTAACCAAAAGAGTGCCCTTAATTGTGCGACCCATGTGAAAGAGACGGCACTGAATCAGCAAAGGCTGGAGGATCGGAGAAAAAAAAGTTTTATTAAAATAACATATATGCAAATCACACCGCACACATGCATATATAAAATATGTGAAATGAAAAATAAAAACAAATCATCCACCGGTTGATGTGTGCTCAGCTTCAGCTCCATTTCTCCCATTCCCTTACCCATATCCTCCCGATCCACAAGATTGTTAATTTCCTGAGTTTAAAGGAAGTCACAATGCACAGAATAATCAAAGAAAGAAGACTAGATCATAGAACTCAATGAAATATATTAGAGAACACAAGCTGATATTTAAGTTTTTTGAGAGAAACGTAACAGCAATAAAGCCATAAGCAGAATAACAGAATGTCCAGGCAATCAAGAAAAGAAATATATCTAATGAAAAGTGTGTATAAAAGAAATAGTTCCTTCAAAAGCATATGAGTTGGAGATAATTAGCCAAAAGTTTTACTAATAGGAACGTTTGCTCGCACTTCTTCTCTGCATTGATTTATTTCATTTAAGATGTTTTATTCTTTAAAATAGTTGATTATGTACAAGTACATGTAAATACAAAGCAACACAAAGAGCATTCCACTAAAACTTTTTTCTTATATACCGCAATGGGTGAAGTTTCCCCTCACTTGCGTACACTATTTTTAACCATATAAATAATCAATTTAAGATTTCCAGTCCATATTTCTCTATCTCACACTTAGGACTAAACATTTACAAGATTAGCCACATGTGGGTAGTCTTACAACAACCTGATAACAGGCCTAAAGCCCCAAAACTAGAGTGAAGGTTTCCCCCTATTATATTCACTATTTTGATTGTATCACTAATTCATGGGATCTCAAGCCATTTTACAGTAGCTTTCCATCAATAAACTGTTTCAAACCAAATTACTAGGAAAAAGAAGGCAGCATAAATTGAAAGCATATGAACTGCAAAATGTAAAAGTCAAGCTTTATCCCTCTAAGACATTAGTATTCATGCGTGAATCAAGGAAACTAGATACATAATCAACAGGCAACGATTTTGATAAAAATAACTGACGGATTCACAATACATATATTAAGTGGATTCTTAACACGAGTTCTGACCAACTATAGAAAAATAAACGAAGTTAAGCGAAAAGAAAAAGTCATGTGAATTAACAAATTCAAAAGTAAAGATACCTGAATGTAATTATTCACCAAGTTATTTCCTTTGTACACACTATTGGGGCAGAGCAATGCTAAATCCCTAGAGATGAACCCAGTTCCATCCGTGAGAATACGTAGTTTTTCATTATCATATATAACATTGCCATTTCCATCCTAAACACAATAAAATAATAATAAAATAATTTTCTCGAAGCATGGCCATAAATTATAAATCCCTTAAGGCGACTTAAAATTGACTATACCTGGCAAAATACATCTTCTATTGTTTGGACATTCACAGTTGCCAAGTCAATATTGAGTTTGAAGGTCTTTGACAGAATGAGAGAGAACCTGAATGCCTGAGGTTAGTACATTGCATGAGATCTATTTTGACTGGAACTGCAGCAGAACGCAGAAAAATAGATAAAAGATCTAAATGATGATAGTATTTCCATAAAATGTCTAACTCATACCTAGCCATATACTTGTCTAAACTGGGTAACAGGTGAGCATGCATGAATAAAGCTCTTGCTTCAGACACTGTCTTATTAGACAAAATGTAATTAGCACTCTCATCTGCAGAACAAAAGGATTGCATCCTAACAAAATAACACTTAACAGAGGAACTTGTTGGGTCCTTCTTCCGCTCCTCTTTTCCCCCATCTTTAAAAACTGTCGTACAAAAGACAAGAGATAGCGTCAAACACACGACAATGAGATGAATTAAGAATGCTTTCAGTAGCAAGTTGAATCAACCACCTCGAAGCTCAACTACAACAGTCCTCAGTCACTAGGACTGCAATGTAATGTCCTCAGCATACCTACCGCTTGTCTTATATTTAGGTGCTTGCACACTAAACCCAAGAAAGAAAAGCTTTATGCAAGTTTCAAATATTGATCCGTGTCAACAGACATGACCATCTCAAGTGGCAACAGCTGTATTAGCTCCAAATGCCACAACACAACCGCAATTTAAAATATGAGCTTGGAACATGAGGTCAATGCCACCACCAAATGAGAGAATACTTTTAAAACAAAATATATGATCTAATAAAAAAGAAATCAATAAAACAGCATTCTAAATCCACATACATATGTCTATCATTTATTAACCACAAAACACAGGACCACATAAGCAAAGAGAGAATGAATTTGTGTGTTAATCATACACTCTTCAAGGACTGAAAGGTAACCAAAGATTGAGAGAAGAGAAACTGGGCATATTAAACAGTTACAGAAATTAACTCGAGAATGTACAAATACTCTTTAACAAATAAAAATTATAACACAAGAACCTAACAGAACAAGAATTTCAAACCTGAGATAACGAAAATAATAAAAATATAGCTTCATATGAACTGCCACAAAATATGATCACAAAACCGTCACATAAACAACAAAAATATTATCAAGCAAGTGAAATTTCATAAATAGGACTTAAGATATAATGCAGATTAAATGTGAATAAGCAGAGAGTAGAATGATTTACAAAATGTGGAAGGAAAAAAATAAATATAAAAGATCAGAGGGTTGTATACTTGTAGTCTAGATTATATGTTGCACAGAATAAATGAAAATACAAATTTCCCAGACTACTTACATCAGCTACATGTTAATCAGATAAATAACTGATTTCAGGATCATACAAACTGTTAAAAGGCAGGGCAAAAGAAATGAAGTAAAACGAACATGAGAAGCAGAATTACCAAAAAAGCGATACAAACGCAGACCAACATTGATCCCTTCTTTTCCAAACTTTCCATAGAGATCATTTGCTTCTTCAGCACTGGTCCTTGAATTCCTCTCACTCCCATTGTCAGCAAATTTAACTAGCAAAACATTGTCATCACCAAGAGATCTCTGCAAGTGTGTTTGTGTGCTTTGTAGTATGGGCCCCTGAATTGCAATTTAAAGAAAGTGGCCATAAAACAAACCATGTTTCACATAAAAATACACAATTTAATCTGTAAAGACTAAAATGTAACTATAACACTGACCATACAACAATCTCAAGAGCTTTTTGATTCAGCACTATAGCATTGGAACCATTGTATTCGGACAATTATTTAACAGTACACAAATCCAAGGGAGGAGAGAAACATACAAACCTTGAACCTTAAGCTCCCATCCGAAGAAACATAACATTGATATACATGTGTCCGACCAGAGTCCCAATCACGATACTGAAGAAACCAAACACAATATAGTAAGCAAGCAATAACTAATCAGAGAAGATAGCCAACACTGATGATTTATATTCAGCACTGCGTGCTGTGAAAGTTTGTACCCATGCCTAAACAGCATTTTCTCTTCGTCTTTCCATGACCATGGGCGTAAAAGGGATGGACTAGCTTAATATCATTCAACAAAAATTTAAACCATGTCATCATTTACACATAGAATTCAAGATTTTAACCTTCTTCTATTCTAATTAAAATCAGAGAAAATATGTTTTGTACTCATTGTGTCAAACAGTTTTACAATACGTATCTGAAAAGTCATATCAGTTTTAGTTCTGATTGGATGACAGTATAAAGCAGTTTTATACTATTAGTATACAGTCATCATGCTCCTTAAAAAAAACTATTTCAATTCTTTGTTGAGCTTTAGTTGTTGCAAAATGAAGTAGCAGGGAATACTTAAACAAGATGAAAACTCATAAAATGAACTGCACTATAAAAATTAGTTAATCCGTCATTGGAAGGCAATATTTACCAATTGCCGATCACTTTGACAGTAGATGTGATCTTTCCCAAAAGCCTCCCACACTGTTTTCTCAAACGTTACCATTGGCAAGTCTTTAAGGCTTCTAAAATAATCAGCATCGGTAACATTCTCAAGACTCTCGCTGCAATCGTGCAAAGAAAACCACATGTATTATTCCATTGATCAGCTTATACACACAAGCTGAATCAACACCTCAAAACCAAAAACAAAAATTCTGGAGAGAAAATAGTTCTACAAACACTCGCAAGAAGAAAAGAAAAACCAAATTTTCAAGTAAGTTAAAATCAAAGTCGTGGATCTAAGTTTTCAAGAATATATTTAAAAACAAATTTTATATTGCATAAATTGATTTGTAAATTAAATAAACTTTCTCAAAAAAAAAATCTACAAATGGAAATTAAAATAAAATTAGCTTATGCTTAAACTTCCAAAACTAATACAGAAAATTTATATAAATATATTTATACGTAAGTTCATTTTAATTTATAAACAAATTTACCTCATTGTAAGCGTTTGAGAAGTTTAGCTAAACATACATTGTAAAACTCATTCCTTATATTTTTCTTATTTTAATAAAAAAAACTAAAATAAAATATGGACGGCGAGCATTATCTACTCTTTTTTTTTTCAAACTCGATGATCTAATATTTATACAAGAGAAACAGAGAAGAGGAAATGAGAAAGATTGGGTTATGCTGAGTCAGCAAGGAAGCTGTAACTAACTGTTTAGTCACGAGGTCAGCATTGCATAAATTACCTTCCAATGTAACTCAGAATCAGAAAGGCCTTACGGAACTCCAATTCTCCGAGCGCGTGCAACGCCAACGACGGTTCGCGAGGGCGCGTGGGAGAGAGGATTCGAGGCGGGGAGGGCGTGACGGAGACGGAGCTTTTGAGCATGTGGGCGATGAAAGCCGAGAGAGAGATTCGGATTTGCTTTCCAGCGATGGTATGGAGAATTTGAAGCGCTTTCTGCTCCCCGACTTCGTGGAGACGTTGGCGGATGATGAAATCCGGCGGAAGTTGGTTCTGCTCGCGGCAGATTCTGTCTATAAGAGCCTCCACCGTGGTGGGAAGACGCACGTGGTTGTTCCGGTGGTGGTGGTTCTCCGCCATGAGAAGAAGAGGAACGAAAATGGAATTGAAAATGTAATGAAAAGAATATATTATTATTTATATTGGAAGTGGCGATAGTGGAACGATGGAATCACTTTATGCTTGGCTTTTGCTACCTCACACAGTGAAGAGGCGATAGTGGAACGATGGAATCACTTTATGCTTGGCTTTTGCTACCTCACACAGTGAAGAGGCGATAGTGGAACGATGGAATCACTTTATGCTTGGCTTTTGCTACCTCACACAGTGAAGAGGCGATAGTGGAACGATGGAATCACTTTATGCTTGGCTTTTGCTACCTCACACAGTGAAGAGGCGATAGTGGAACGATGGAATCACTTTATGCTTGGCTTTTGCTACCTCACACAGTGAAGAGGCGATAGTGGAACGATGGAATCACTTTATGCTTGGCTTTTGCTACCTCACACAGTGAAGAGGCGATAGTGGAACGATGGAATCACTTTATGCTTGGCTTTTGCTACCTCACACAGTGAAGAGGCGATAGTGGAACGATGGAATCACTTTATGCTTGGCTTTTGCTACCTCACACAGTGAAGAGGCGATAGTGGAACGATGGAATCACTTTATGCTTGGCTTTTGCTACCTCACACAGTGAAGAGGCAATGGTACGTTACTGGCTTTTCTACGTACTATAACACTGTAGTGTTGAAAAAAGCACCTTCCACCGATTTCAATTCAAAAGGACAATGTGAGAAAAAATAGACTAAGTGTTCGGTCCAATTAGATTAATCACCATGCATTGTTAAGACTCAAATTCCGTCACTTTTATTCTTAAAGGATGAAAACAGTATTATTAATCGTGTGACAATCATCTTGCGATGTTATAAATTAATTTCTAAAGTTCAGAACATGTAATGAAAAAGTGGAATATTGACATTAACGTGTGAGATTTCCCTCTTCAAAATTCAAACATCGTAAAAAAAAGTCAGAAAAAAAATATATATATATATATAAAGATTAATTTAATACATGTATTTATAAACGGTAAGCCTATTTAAGACAATTTTTTTTTAAGAAATCACATTTTTAACCTGTTCTTTTCTTCTCTTATTTTATATGGATTGTGTCAGCATGGATTCGTTTTCGTGTTTATTTCTCAAAATTACAACTAATCTGATTATTACTAAAATATTTTTGAAAAGAAATATAATCTTTGAAACTATTTTAAAAATTGGAGATGCAATATAAAATATCTGGAGGTGCAGGGAGAAAGAACCTAATGTTCTACCTGAAAAATGTTATGAGGCCCAATAATTCGAAAACCCTAATTTGACCCAACCCAGTGCCGAAGAGAAAGGAAATGCCAGAGTAGAGAGATCGCAGAGGCCTATGGCAGAAACCTGCTAGGGAGAACCAGTGAACAACGAAATTGTTATCTAGGTGCGTTTGTAACACTCTTTTTCTATTCTTCTAAAAACCCTAACGATTTTGCATTGCTACTTTCAGTTTTTTGCAATTTTCAGTGCAACTTGTTGTGTCTATCGTATCGCAATCCTACACCAAGGGTCGATGAATAACGATGACTGTTGTAGTGTCGGAAAGAACAGTAATAATGTGAATTTACTATGATAGATCCTAGTTAGTAGACCCTACTGTCTGATTCATTATTTAGTTTTGAGCTTATCCCAATAGTGACATTGTTTTCAGAAATTGACATTTTATCATTGTTATACTAACTTTGAAAGACAGTAGTGACAAAGTTTGATTAACCTTCTTGACCAACTGCTATTTTTTGCATGCAGATAGATTGTGCCCAAGCAGGAGGAATAAGATGCCTCCTTACGACTGTATGTTTCTGTTTAAACCTCATATCGCGAAAGAAGCTATTTTGGATTTAGTTGTAAGGGTGGGAAAACATGTGTCTGGAAGAAATGGGGTTGTCACTGATGTTAAGAATTTTGGAAATGTTCAATTGGGATATGGTGTGAAGAAGCTGGATGGCAGATATTATCAGGTGAGGTTGATTGTTTGTGATGCATTACAGAGAGTTTATGCATCATTGGTTGTTGTTGTGCTGTTTATAATACCTGTTTTGATGTAAGTATTGACGTAATTTTAGGCCTAGAGAATACTTCAGGAACTTCACTGAATTACTCTACTATTTAGATGGTGCAACTCAATTAATTAATATTTTATTTTACAGCTGTTGAGGTTAATGAATTCATTTGCTAATTATATAGTTAAATTTTCGACTATTTATGTGCAACTCAATTCATGAAATTTTTGTCTTGCCATTTAACATCATTGTGGTAACTGAACTACCAGTGCACCAGTAGTATGTAGCTAGACCACCGCCATTTAGGTGAATGCTTCATAGTTCTTGTTCTATTTATGTCAAAATTTCATTGCTTTAACTGTTTCATTATATGGGTTGTGTTAGTCATGGATAGAACTGTGTGTATAACATCATTAAATTAATATAAAAAATTGTTTAGTAGTTTAGGTATTTGATCATTGAAAATGTTTTGCATAACTCCTGGCTTGAAGTATTCCGAATAATTTAATTTTTAGAGTGTAAAGGAGATTACCCAAAAAGAAACACTAAAATCCATGAGGGAAAACAAGTGAGAGATACATCGGCCAAAGTGGCATTAGACTATATGGAGAATGAGCATATTTAGTAGAATCTGCTGCTTAATTAGCCACCGGCTTAATGAGAGCACACTAGATGTCCATCTTGCATATCAGTGATCCAATGAACCAGACTGACAAATGACAATTAGTGCAACTGTTCCGGTAAAATGTTGATTGCCCTAAACTGGAGAATAAATATAGAGTGAATAATCTAATTCATAGTTAACAATACTTCAAGCCAGAAAATTCAAGTCCGTAAGCCTTGGAGCCGTCTTCTTATTCCTGGCCTCAAAGGTTTTACATCATATATCCCTAAGCCCAAAAATATGATAACTATACAAAAATATAATAACTATAAAAATTGCATCAACTTGCTTCAGTCACAGACAGCCTTGAATGGTTAAAAATCCAATCATTTCTACTTCACAAATTGTCCAAAATAACAAACATCGCTGACCCTTTCCTTCCCCTACAATACTGTCTAATTACATGTTATGCAGCAGCCATTGATTAAAACTCTGGGAGACAAGTTCAAATATATATTGCGTTAGGACAAAGTCTAAAAGCATGGTTCACGTTGTCAGGAACCTTTGAGGACCTTTCTAGTGCTATAAAATTCTGAAGATTGAAACAGGCTGATTCAGAGGCAAAGAATAATGATTACAAGCTTATGATTGTCTGTATATTCTCACTTGCCATGGTTCAGACAAAGTAAACTGGGACATATGATTGAGAAATGTTTATTGAATGTTCTGTTTTATGCTTTGCAGCTAGTGAAGTTTCTGTGAACTTTATTTAGTTTGAGAGTGTGACTTTGGTGAAACAGACTTAAAAATTAAAATTTATTGAGTTTGAATGGAAATCATGCATGTGTGTTATTTTCAATTTTTAATGGATGTAGGGGACGCTGATGCAAATGAGCATGATGGCTACACCTGAAATCAACAAAGAATTGCATTACCTAAACAAAGAAGACCGGTTGTTGCGTTGGCTTTTGGTCAAGCAACGTAACACAAAATTTGGGCTCGATTTTTTAGAGGATGAAGGCAGGTTGGAGCTAAGCAAATNAAAATGTTTTGCATAACTCCTGGCTTGAAGTATTCCGAATAATTTAATTTTTAGAGTGTAAAGGAGATTACCCAAAAAGAAACACTAAAATCCATGAGGGAAAACAAGTGAGAGATACATCGGCCAAAGTGGCATTAGACTATATGGAGAATGAGCATATTTAGTAGAATCTGCTGCTTAATTAGCCACCGGCTTAATGAGAGCACACTAGATGTCCATCTTGCATATCAGTGATCCAATGAACCAGACTGACAAATGACAATTAGTGCAACTGTTCCGGTAAAATGTTGATTGCCCTAAACTGGAGAATAAATATAGAGTGAATAATCTAATTCATAGTTAACAATACTTCAAGCCAGAAAATTCAAGTCCGTAAGCCTTGGAGCCGTCTTCTTATTCCTGGCCTCAAAGGTTTTACATCATATATCCCTAAGCCCAAAAATATGATAACTATACAAAAATATAATAACTATAAAAATTGCATCAACTTGCTTCAGTCACAGACAGCCTTGAATGGTTAAAAATCCAATCATTTCTACTTCACAAATTGTCCAAAATAACAAACATCGCTGACCCTTTCCTTCCCCTACAATACTGTCTAATTACATGTTATGCAGCAGCCATTGATTAAAACTCTGGGAGACAAGTTCAAATATATATTGCGTTAGGACAAAGTCTAAAAGCATGGTTCACGTTGTCAGGAACCTTTGAGGACCTTTCTAGTGCTATAAAATTCTGAAGATTGAAACAGGCTGATTCAGAGGCAAAGAATAATGATTACAAGCTTATGATTGTCTGTATATTCTCACTTGCCATGGTTCAGACAAAGTAAACTGGGACATATGATTGAGAAATGTTTATTGAATGTTCTGTTTTATGCTTTGCAGCTAGTGAAGTTTCTATGAACTTTATTTAGTTTGAGAGTGTGACTTTGGTGAAACAGACTTAAAAATTAAAATTTATTGAGTTTGAATGGAAATCATGCATGTGTGTTATTTTCAATTTTTAATGGATGTAGGGGACGCTGATGCAAATGAGCATGATGGCTACACCTGAAATCAACAAAGAGTTGCATTACCTAAACAAAGAAGACCGGTTGTTGCGTTGGCTTTTGGTCAAGCAACGTAACACAAAATTTGGGCTCGATTTTTTAGAGGATGAAGGCAGGTTGGAGCTAAGCAAATTTTCCGAAATCAGTAAACTTGATGAAGATGAAGAGGATGAGGATGATGACGATGAGGAGTACCAATTGGAGGAAGAAGACACAAAGTAAACTAAGACAGCTGAGGATTTTGTTAGCTTCCATAAAATCAGTTTGCATTGTATTTTCAGTGCCAAACATGTGCTTCCTTACAGTGCCAAGTAAAGGATGAATGAATTTAGTTCAAATCAAAATATGATTTGAGAAAAACAAGATCACAACAGATTTTTATCATAGTCCCTAATTTTATATTCACGTATTGAAAAATAAGAATAATTCACTTTTACATCACGCTTCATTAATTTCTTTTCAACGTATATATTTCCATCAAAGAAAACGTAACCTTCAAAATAGTGAAATAGTAGGCATCAAAAACCAAATATTTGTTCTATTTCCAATTACGAATTCCCCATATATGTATGCATTCTTTAGATTGGGCAAATGCCCTTCGAACAAAGAAAAGAGATATTACAATATGTTGGTATCTACAATGTTCCACTCGAAAAAACATTTTCAATGAAGAAAAAAACGAATAAACATAATTAACCAATTCAATTCTGAGGACAGTCACTACACAAGAAGGAGAAGCTGTCACCCATTCGATAATATCATTCGGCTAAAGCGAACTCCAATTTCCCAACAGTTCAGCATCCTGCAGCAGTTTCTCAAAAGATCAATAGATGCCTACACCTAAGTTCCTGTTTTGGTTTGCAATGCTGAAATTCTTTGGGGAACCATTATGAAGACACCATAAACAGCGGCATTGGAAATGTACACTTGAAAATGTGCTGTAAGGAAGGTATTAACGCCTGACATAGACCCTACTAGATGGAGTATTTTTTATCAGTCATCGTATATTCTGGTTAGCGAGTCCCATAGATTCCGCAACCTCTCTGGCAGCCATAGTGTCAGCTTGTTCCTAAATAGAAGATAAAGAAAATCAGATTCAACAAAGATTTTACGGTCGGGAGCTACTGAAACGGGTAGCTTTATGGATGCTGCATGTATCATGAGTTGACATATTCTATCTATGTTGCACTCGGATCTTTACCTGTAGACGATGCAAGAGATACATCAAGAAGAGATGTACAAAGACCTGATGCAATTTCAAAAGGTCAGTAAAATTTCAATCCTTCAATGGTATTTCATCTCCTACCTATTTTAAACATTTAATGAACTGATCTCACCAAATAAAAAAATAAAAAAACTCGAGCTGTAGGATATCTCCAAAGAAATCTTGTGGCCCTGACAGCCCCTGAATCTAACAGTTTCACTGCTTTTTGCAACTGCATGAGACATGCCACATACGAAGTATAATTGTCAAAAAGGAGAATGAAAATGACAGGAAATGAAATGCAACATGATGGTTGGTAAGCTGCTATACCTGAATACTTGCACCGACCAAATGACGGTGATGCACAGGAAGAGGCCTGCAATTTTTACTTTGTCAGATAACTTTCCAAACTCTACAATGAGAAATGAAAACAGACGGCCCAACCATTTGGAATGACGGCAAATAGTACATAGAAGCACAATTGAGTGATAAAGTGATTTGAGAAGCTATTATAAGCAAAAACGGCTATAACTTTAACATTTATGAAGTAACGAACATAATAGAAAAGGAAGAAAATACGAGAGATGATTTAACACGGGGAGGGTAAACAAATAGAGTTTGACAAAGGATCAGTACATTTTAATGGGTTTGGGGAACTTCTGTCGCTGTTGGGAGGGTAAATAACGTCTGTTTGTTTGAAAAGAAAAATAAAAAAAAAAACACTTTTTAATAAAATAAGATCACTTATTAGCAATTTTCAGGATAAACCTATCTGAAAAAACAGAAACAGAAAAAAGAGAGGAGAAAACTACATTATTGCGAAGCAACTGTCACTTCTGCTTTTTTTCAATTACTTTTTTTTAAAGCACAATTAAAGAAACTCAACCACTGAGGTTGTAGTTTATAGTCATTTTAATCAAATGCATTACAAGAAAAACAAGATAAGTACTACAAAGATAGTAAGAAGAAACTTACTCCAGGGATTTTATTTCAGTCTCATCTTCCCATGATGATGATGCCCGACGAGAAACTTTGTTACGTTCGGCCTCTGCCTGTTCAATATAACAATGACATAAAAATCACCGTACAGTCAAACTACTAATCAAATAGCCATAAGAACCTAATCACATACCCGTGCTTCCTGGAGACGCTTGATTTCCTTCTCCAATTGAAACTCAGCGGCAGCTTTTTCACTGACCATGGTTTCTAATTGTGTTTGTTTGTAGTACTGAAATGAAGATAACTCAAATTATTGAATATTACCGATTTGCATGAAATTTAATCATAAAATAAATTACCAAAAGGTCAGTCAGTTCCCGGTAGCGTTTCTCTAATTCCATATGTTCCTGTTACAAAATTAAGACTATGTTTAAAATAAGCCAGTAGTATTCCAAATGATCTCAACACCAGAACATACACTTTAACTTCAATTTTTCTATACAGTTACTGTTAACCAACACAAGAATAGCATGATAGGCTGCAGGCTTAATGTGTGACAAAAGCTAACTGTAAAGGATTTAACTGTAAAAGGATTTAACTGTAAAAAATATTTTCAGTTTAGAAACAATTACCGATTAATCACTTGGATAGTTATTAAGTAACCATTAACTGATTATTCCTCAAATGGAAATGGTTTTACCAATTCTTTTTACAGTTATTTCAAAATCTTATAAACAAGACCACTTGTATGACAAAAGCTACAGAAAATTATGCATTCCATGAGAATGACTCTCAAACTTCACCACCAACAATGCCGCAGTATGAACGTCTAAGCTCTGCCCACTTAAGAAACAAATAGGTTTTATTTTTTTTATATATCAAACTTGGAAATTTAAATTTTATGCACGAAATTTTTTTAAAGAAGCACCACGATTATTACCTGACGTGAGTAATGCTCAGCATCCCTCTTCATGGCAGCCATCTCAACTCTCATTTTCTGCATTTCAGCCTGTAACATTGAAACCAAACATATCAATAATGAGAAGAGAAACTTTACCTGCAGGACAGGAAGTCATTATCTCAAAAAACTTCACAACAAAATAATAAAAAAATTCCTTGCCTCCAAGGAAGATAGCTTGTTTTCAGCATCCCTCTGACCTTGGCGGGCCCGTTCCAATTCATCTTGCCATGCTTGCATCTGAATATGTAAAAGTTCCATCATCATTCCATCCGAATGAAAAATGATCACTGATATTACTATCATAATTGTCATCTAGAAATGTTTGGGCCAACTTTACACATGTACCCAGCGATGCCCTGGTTCAACCATGACCATGGATGTTTTTTCACTCACCCACTCCTCTTTAAGTTTCTTCAGCTAAAAGATGGTATTTAGGTCTAATTTTATATTTGAAAAGATTTAGCAAGACGAACATAAAAGTAGTAAGTGATTCAGTTGTGTAAGCTGCGTAAAGTAGCAAATAGAGTAATTGTCTACTTTAAAACAGTGAAGCTTAACACGCAAAAATAAATAACAAATATCTGCTCTGTATATATATTGATGCAGAAAATCAAATGTTCTTTGAATTGGTTAAGGCAATAACCAAAAACGACGCTGACTCTTGAAAGATGCTAACACTAATACTTGTTGATGAACTTTGAAGAAGATGTGAAATATAAGGAAATCTAATAAGTTGCAAATTGACCAACTTTCCTCTCCATAATCTGTTATACCTGAATTAATTGATTAGCCTCTTCTGGGGACTTTTTCAATTCCCGGCGCACACGGACTTCCATATCTTGTAGTTCTTGATTTAAAGATGCACATTCAACCTGGTCACAGAGGTTACCAACACCTTATTCAGTAGATCTTTCAGAATAGCAATCAGAAATCAGCCCTAAAATTCAGAAAGGAAAAAGTTAAGCGTTTATTCATGTACCTCGAGAAGTGCCACCTTCTGCTCAAGTTCGGTGACTTTAGCTGTCCTCTCATCCGCTACTCTCTGAAAAGACGAGCAACTAACAAATCAGTCCCTACATTTTACCCAATGTCAATAACAATTCTAGAAGCAAAATAGTTCGAGAGGGGGAACGGAAGCAGCCTTAGTAACACATGCTTTATAATTGTGGATGTGTTAATATTGCTTATCATCCTTTTCTGGTAAAGTAGATCTCTGTTAAAATTTTGAATAACAATACCAAACATATATGACGCCAAAAAATACCAAAAGCTGGAGAGAATGTAGCCAGACTTGCGTAGAAGTATTGAACTGGCTGAGAAGATCTCACCTCCTATTTCCAAATTTAATGTGAAAAATATTTTTGTTATTTTTGTCAATGAAAAATATTTTATAATCATCTCAAGATCCACTGCACAACACTCTTTCATATTCCCACACTGGCAAGTGAAGATTTACACATGTTTTGCATACCAGGACGATAATTAGGGTATGGAATTATGTATATGACTTGTGTGTCCAAAACTAAACTAAGCAAAATTATAAAAAATGAACCATTTTGAGAAAAAGAGAAACCAAACTACGTTATGTAGAGGTTCTGATTGGTCCTTTGAGAAAACCAAACCAGGTATGAGTATAAAATAGATAACCAAACTGAACTAAACTGGAGGAACCCAAAACAAAAAGCATTTTGAGAAAGAAAGAAAAAAATCCACTTTATAAAAACAGTGGGGTTAACGAAACCATTTTAAAGTGGATCTAAACCACAGTAAGTGCTTACATTACCTGTATCCTTGCAAGTGCAGTGGATGACTCAACTGCTCTGTGCTCCAAATCTACTTCTCTTTCCATAGCAGCCTGTTCTACCAGTCAGAGAATCACTAAAATGTAATGCAAAACACAGAAACTTGAGAAATAAATCACAGAAGTTACAGACCATTTTGGTCTTATTATGTGCAGCACGCTCCTCTTCTGCTCTTCGCTCAGCAGATGCTAGCTCCTCTCTAAGAGCCTATAAGAACAGCAGTTTTAATATTCACACAATTTCATCATGTAAATGAGATATATTGTATAACTATAGTAATCATACTTGCAGAACAGAACCTAATTACCTGCATCATCCTTGTTTCTGATAGTTCTCGACTTCTCATCATTGATTCCATGCTTGCCTGGTAAGATATGCATAGTGTTACTCAAGTCATAGTTATAAATAACACTAACTCTACATTAAAAATATATTGAAGGTACAAGCTGCAGTGAAATGACTAATCCAACACCACAGGAAGAAATTAATGAAGGAAAGCAACAAGGAAGATCATTTTGGTGCCTACTCCAACAAG